TCTTCTTTTGGGCTCTCCAGTCACTGCTGATCCCAGTATCCTCTTGCCCCTTTGCCCACAGGTGCCACACTAGCTGGGATGAGGAGGGAGGAGGCTCCTGATCAGCACTGTCCTACTCTGCAGCTGCCCCATTACATCGTTCTCACCTGGTCTGTTGGTCTCTTCCATTTGGTTGAGCACCTGAGGTCTGTTGGGCCTTGACACTTACAACTATGAAGATGAGATTCCCCCTTGGCCAGCTAAAAGTCTAACCTTCCCACCAAACAAGAGTTAAAAGTCGTGCTTGATATGCTTTCCTCCTAAGCTGTATGCCATAGTGTTTAAACACCTATTGAAGGTGTTTTTAAAACTGAAGAAGAGTAATGATTTGTGCATTAAGTTGTTTGTTAACAGTCTTTAAAAAAAATTTCTACTGGACAAGAGGAATCATTGCTATCATTACTGTTGAATTCCTTGTAGATTTAGAGTTGACAACAGGCCAAAAAAGGGCAATAAATCAGAATTCTGAAAGGCAGCCTAACACAGAATTAACTAAGTGCAAAAAACTCTTGCTATGGACAAGAGCAACTTTTTTTTTTAACCTGTCTTGTTAAGAATATGATTCCTTAAATGCTAAAGGATTTGCTTTACTTCATACATTTGAGTTACTTAGTAAAGTAACTGCTGTATTTAGCTTCAATACTGTATTTGCTTATAAAGTTAACTGCAAAAAACCTGACCAACAGACCATGTTGCACTGTTCAGAATTATGCAGCTCTAGGCTGTTCTTATTTTTACTTTTCTCTCCAAAACGTTGTATGTATTTTGGCTATATGTCATCCTTGGTGCAGGCTGTACAATAGCATTGATGACAGTGGTAGGATCTAATGCACTTTGTGATGTCCATAAGGGAACCCAAAGGCTGTCATGCTCAGGAGGTGTCCTGAGAGCTGAGACAGATGATGAAGAGCTGTTCTGGGAGGAATTATAGAATCCTTAAGGTAGGAAGGGACCTTCAGAGATCACCAATCCAACCCCGCTACACATGCAGGGTTACCTAGAGCAGGGTGGCACAGAGCTGCGTCCAAGCAGGTTTTGAAGATCTCTAGAGAAAGAGACTCTACAACTTCTCTTGGCAGCCTCTTCCAGGGTTCTGTCACCCTCACTGTTAAGAAATTTTTCCTTAAGTTCCTGTGGAACTTTAGTGCTTGGGACACCGCTAATTCTAGGTTTCCAAATGGACTCGGTGCCACTGATTGCCAACCTCTGCGCTCTGCCATGCAACCAGTTCGCAATCTACCTCTCTGTCCACTAATCTCTCCCACACCTCCGGAGCTTGTCCAGGAGGATGTTGGGATGGATGGTGTCAAAAGCCTTGCCAAAGGAAAGCAGGGTCTTATTGGATTAGACAGAAAAAAAGTACCTTGGAATGTATGGATGTGTTTTTTTGGCTTGTTGATTAGTGAATGCACTTGGAATGTAGCTCTTCCCCAATCACGGTGGAGAGAAACCACTTGGTAATTGCTCTATTTCCTTCAGGTTAGGGCAGAGGGAAGCTGAAATTGAAACATCCAGTGTTTATTTTCGCTTTTGGGGCATGACTCCCAGATGATGATCTCAAGTTCAAACTCTCTGAAGCCATTGTGTTTTACTTTATCTGTCAAATAGAATTTGACATTATAATGCCAAATTATAATAGCTCATTACAATGTTGCTATTGGGCATAAATGCTTGAGGATAATGTATCCATCCCACAAGAACAGGCTAAAGGTATCGCATTGTTTGGCTGTGTTTTAGGATTGCTTTTCTATTTGCACTATCTTTTCTTTAAATAAGACTTAAAGAGGGTATTATAATCCAGAACTGTTATTACTTTTTAGTTGTTGTTGAAAGACAAAGCCTTGATTAGTTTGTGGTTCATAAGGACAATTTTTTTAAGGATTAGACTAATTCAAAGCAGTATCTAATTCAAAGCAGTATATTACATGTTTTTGTCCTAAAATGAAGCATACAAAGAAAAGTTTGAATGCGGCATAGTTGTAAACCTGCCGCTAAAAATGGGTGCATCTGGTAGGTTGTGGCTTTTCATTCATCTTTGCCATAATCCTAAAGAGACTGTGACAGCTTTATAGGATTCTGATACTACTTAGTTCATTTGAAGTCAGGGTTGAGCTAGAGATGTACTTTTTGTTTTCTTTTTCCCAAGGTATTGAATTTCCTTAAATATTTGCAGCATTCTTCCCAATAAGAGTAGGAAATGAAGCCCAAGTATTTCCTCTGTGCAGCTGCACAGCTATTTTTTGTTTATTGCTTTAGAAATCTAAATGACACAAATGTTTTCTTATTATGTAATTAACTGGAACCAGGTATCTGAATATCACTGTGAATATCTGATATATTTATATGTATACACACGCTCAGTTAATTTCCATAGTGCTTTTTCATCAAGAGACATTTAAAGGGATGCAGCGCAGAAATGGCTGATGATTAATTGCATGTTGTGATGGACTGGAGACCTGGGGAAGAGACTGCTTAGGTATGCAAAAAGACCTGATTCATGAGATTAAAGGCTTCCATTCCTCTAATTCAAGTAATGATGCCCAGCAGGAAAAGGTGGTCCAGATGGTCATCTGCAGCTACTAACAGTCTTCTGGGTAAATATCTAAAGCTGCAAAATATCTGTAGTAGCTGGCGAGTGTGAGTGTCCTGCCTGCAAACACTGGAGGGAGTTTAATAACATATTTTGCAAAGGAGATCTCTGAAATAAATAAAATGTAGATTACAGGAGGAGGGCGAAAAATGAAAGGGGGAAAAAAGTGAAGAAATAACTTTATGTAAAAAGGATTTAAAAGAACAGTCAAGCAGTTTCCACCATTGCAAAATTAATGCTAAAGTACTTGTTTATTTCATGCAGTATTTACTGTGGTTTTCATATGGAGAGGCTGACAGCTCCCTTCAAAAGTAGTATAGCTGCTTATTAGACTTTAGTAAAGATGGTTTCATCTCTTATGAATAAATAAAAATGTATGAACAAGAATTCCCTGGGCATGTGCAAAGATGATCATTCTCTCTGGTCAGCACTGCTGCTGATTGTGTGGAATCCCTAAGCATTTGTCATCAGATGAAACTATATATTTATAAAATCAGCTTGAATATAGTTTTTGTTAATCTAAATCACTTGACAAATATTTTTAAAATAAAACGGTGTCTGTTGCAAACTAGACCAAAACCACTTTTTAGAAGTGTGTCATTTCCCAAGAAAGACAACCTTGTCTTCATACAGTTTAGCGTGCAATTCGGTCTGTCCTGGATTAAGTGTTTCTTTTTTTCTTTTTTGGTTATTAAGACACTGATTCTTGTTCTTCCCCTAGTCTCCATGGAAAATGATGGTCTCTTAAACCTTCTATTTTTTTTACCCCAGGCCCATGCAGATGGCTTTGCAGTAAGGGCTGCTGATTAATGTGCAGAATGGCCACCTGTGGTCTGCATAAAAACCTAATCTAGTCTAATCAGATTTATAGAAGAATATTTCATATTAATCGGTAACATTATATTTAAATTAAGAGCAGGAGAACACTGAATCAATTGCATACAAAATGCAAACTGGGTTTGTGTAGCTTTCTATCTATAAGAAAATAAACTTATTAGGAGCATGGTCCTTTTCAGACACAGCTGCCGTTATGCCTGGGCACATGCAGTCCTAGCTGCCGGAGTGCAATGGGAGATGGGTCTTGCTGAAATTATTCTGCTGTTTGGGCAGCAAAGCTATGGTTTTCCCTTCCCCTCCCCCTGCCTTGTTTCGGGTTTCCCTCCCTCTTCCCCCAGAGCAATCCGAGATAAGCAGATTAATATGTGGGATAGCTCCTCTTGGTTGCTCTGTGCAGCCTTTCTAGCTCTTTGTAGCCAGTTGGACTTGTTAGGAGGAGCCAACCGATTGCCTGCTTCCTGGGCTCAGTTTCATAAAAGATAGCACAGCATGCGTGAGCACGATTACTGCAGCTGCAGTAATCCAGAGGCCTGTCAGTTCCTGACTCTGTGCATGTTTATTCCTCCTTGTCTTATAATATTGCACTGGAATTTCCTGTCTTAGATAGTTTGCTATTGCATCTTCAGGAGTCTGTGAGTAATTCTGACTTTTTCAACTCTCAGTTACTTAGATGCTGTAAGCAGGAATGCTTGTGTTTGGGAAGTAGTGCATTAGCAGCCAACACCGGAGACTCTGCGCTGTGTTAGATGAAAGACAGTTAACCTTGCAGCTCTTCTCTGGCTGGGGTTAACCCGGCTTCATGCTGCTGCATGTGCTCAATGAGTCTGGGGCTCATCCCTTTCTGGAGAGGGATGTTTTTGACCTCTATATTCCCTATACTTCTATTAAAAAAAAAAAAAAAAAACTGCTGATGTTGATTTACACCTTATTTGTGTCTAGTCTAGGCATATAGAGGCTTACAAAGTATACAAAAATGTACAAGGTGTGAAATATGTAGGAATGCACAAAAATATGAGTTGACAGCATGAAAAGAAATGCCCTTCTTGCTTGCTTTTTTTCTCCTTCCCCCCAGCTCCTCTAAATAGCAACAGCCATAAAAAGCAGGGCAGTATTAACATGGAGTAGTTGGTACATTTGTCAAGCTTTACTGGGTTGGGGTTGTGTTTGTTTTGTTATGCTCTTTCCTTGATCTCACGGAGCTGTTTATGTAGCAAACCAAGTGCTGGCGCTTACTCTTGTAACCCAATAGCAGCGAGCTGAAGCAGTGGGAAACGCCGCTCGGGATCGGCAGGTTTAATCAGATGGCGCTATCGCAGTGACTCCCTCCTCGGCTTCCTGGGATTGTGCCGCGCTGCTCCGGTGCGAGCGAGGCTTAAAACAATGGAGCAGCCGATGGAAAGCGGGCGGTAAAAGCCAGCGGGCTCCGGTGCTCTGCATCCCTGCAGCAGACGCTGCAAGGTCACACTCGCTGCCATGTGCGTGTTGGTTCACGCAGGGACCTTTTCCCATTGCTTGCTTTTCCAATGGAAACACCACTGCACGGTGTGATGCAAGAAAGCCAGCGCTGGTGGGTAAATAGCTGGGGTTGCACTGAGTACATACTTGCTGCTAGAAGGATTATTTAAGCCTATGCTCTTTCCTATTAGCTTTCCTTTATTGGAGCTCTAGCTTTTCGGACGGATTTATGTGAGTAAATGGTTTTAAAGTAGTACGTGTTGCTCAGAGAGCTGATTCGTTCTAATAATAATTATGACTTCTGGGGTTGTAAAATGCATTTGTGGAACTTCTGCAATATCTCTTTTTTGTTAGCAAAAGAACTGTTTTTCAGCCTGTAGTAAGAAAATAGGAATGAACTTTAGAAGTACATTTATATTCTATTGTTGAATAACGATTTTATGTTGCTTTAAAACATAAAAATGTAGCCAAATACTGTTTTTTTAGCTACTGATTTTATGGTTAATAATGAAGTAAAACAATTTCTTGGGTATTAGCAGCTTTATGCTTATGAAACTTCTTTTTTATAAGTATATGTGTGCATCTTCAAATACTCCATTACATGTAGTGTGTCCTGTAGTGAATGTGATAGTACCGCTTTCATGTTTTATACTGTAACACATAGAATTAAGATTAAAGTGACTATAATAATAAAAAAGAAGCTAAGATACTAGTGATATGTCCGCAATCACTTTAGTTACATGTAGACTAGCAAAATAAATTGAATTCCTCTAAATGGTTTTATGAAATTAAACAGGAGACTTTTTTTTGTTTTATTCAGATAGCATTCAAAATAACTTTCACCAGCCTTACCTTTAACTGTCAAGTATAACAAATATATGTGTAATGTAAAACTTTACAAACGTGGTGAAAGTCCCGTGGCTGAGAAGGCATGTGTTTAGGGAGACCCTGCAGGTTAGGGGGGCGGAAACCAGCTTATGCTATGCCTGTTTCTGAAATAAAGCCCAGGTAGGTTTCTTAGATGTTACTTAGATGAATGGTACTTACAACGTATGCACAACACAAGGAAGCGACTTGGGGAGGAATTTAGTTTGGAGCGTGATGTGGAATTGCGGGCTGAGCAGTCACGTGGCTGTCACTTTATCAATGAATATCTCTGCCTTGAATTTTTTTTTTTTAAATTGAGTCAGGATATTAACACCTAAAGGTGTTAGTTTTGTGTCTCCGTGCTCAGCCAAAATGACACACGCTAATCTATGGGGAAGAAACCTTGAGTATATTTAAAGTGCATTTCTGAAGGTAGTGTATATGCTATAATCCCAAAAGGAATAATACGGATAACAGTTTGTCTGCAGTAACCGAGTCCATGCGCTGTTCCAGTGCTGTGGATACCATGTTTCCAGGAACTGCAACGTAATCTATTTATAATTCGATAGGTGCGATGTGGAATCCAGCACTGCGAGCGGCGCCCACGGCTGCATCAAAGCTCCTTTGTGCTGGACGCTGTTCAAACAAGTAGTCAAAGGCGGTCCCTGCCCTCGAGAGATTCTAAGCTAAACAGGATGGTAGACGCAGGGTGGAAGTGCGCACAGATTAAACATAACTTGCTGCGACTGGCCCAAGGTTAGGAGGGAATAAAAGCCTAGGACAGGGCTGCAGGATAGTGTGGCTGTAGAAGCATCCATGGCAAAGAGCTTGGGTGGTGGAGGACACCCTTAGGCCTTAGCCTGTTTGATCCCAGCGGCATGTAGATAGGTTGTGTACATTGGGTGGTGGCCCTTGGGCATGATGTGGCACTTGTGCGTGTCCAGTGCTGCTGCTCTTCCTGAGCCCCGACCCGTGGCTCCGTGCGTCCTTGGCAGCAATGGCTCTGCCAGATGGAAAGTTTTTGCTTTCTCTAGTGCTAAATGTTTTTTTCTGTTATTGTACATCCACCTCAGTTCAGGGAACTGAATCTTCCAGAACTGTTAAAAGCGTTTGCCCAGCTCTTCTGTGAGATTTTCAGACTTGCATCTTTCTTTAAAACACTCCAAAGGTGTGTGTGTGTGGGTTTTTTTTTTTTTTTTCTCTCTCTCTTGTGCAGGAAACTTAACTTGCAGAAAAGCTGGGGGGATGCATACACATGCTGTAGCTTGGGCTATCTTGAGTCTTACTGGCTGAGTTGCAGACATTAGTGTTTGGAGTGAACAGATAAAATTTAACACTTGTTCGTCTGCTAAATGTAAGGCTGATATGAAGGGATAGCATTAAATGCTTTTGTATGGAATTTGGGAGATCTTCAAGAAACACAAAATAAAACCCCAGACCCCTTGAAACTTCCCTTTAATATGGTCTAATACTTTGCTAGTTAATTAGCAGTGTAAATTCATGTATCCAGTCGGATGATTAATACGAAAACTCGGTAGCATGCCGCACGGTGGATATTTTTGCGGCCCCTTTGCTCACGAGCACGGGGGCAGTGCCTGCTGGCCGCAGTGTGTGCCGCTGCTCGTGCCCGACGCGCTCCTGGCTGAGCGGTCGGCCGCCCTCCGCCTGCAGCGCGCCTCTTCCCCGCTCTGCGCCAGATGTCCCCTGTGCAAAGAACCCCCTGCCCCCAAACGGAGAAGCAGAAAAACAAGGTCTGTCTTCTGCGAATGGTCCCCGCTTAATCCCCGGCATGCGGCTGGTGCCTGTCCCGCAGGCAGGCCCCCCGTGTGGGCGCCTGACAGGGAATTGATCCTAAAACAGTGCTGAAGGGCACAGATCATCGCTTAGCAGGGCGGCTAGTGCCTGTCCTGCTTCTGCTAATAACGTGTGGCAGCTCCGGGAGTTGGGCACGGGGCAGAATTAGCGGGGGATCTGACAGGGCCTTCTGTTCCTGTTGCTATGTAATATTATTTGAATGATAATAGTAAGTGACTGAGTCAGGCGCTGCCCATTGCGGGAGTAAATACTCTGGTGTTCCTTGGTTTAACAGTTGGAAAATCCTTTTGCTTCACAGAGGAGCGTAGGGGTATCCCTGGACTCTTTGGATTTAGTGTTATCATCCTTCACACTAGTAATATTGAGCTTATATGGAGAAATCTGCAGTTTTCAAGAAAGAATGGATTTTCGCTTTGCCTAAAGGTACACCAAACTTTTTTTTTTGTTTGCAATGGTGATCTATTTACATTTCTGAATTACGTACAATATAAAATATATTTTAGGACTTGTAAATAAGTAGTTTAAACAATGTGTTCTTCATCTTTTTTTAATGTGTAATCACATTGATACAGTAAGGTATTAAATCTTTATATCCTCTTAAGACTGTAGAAATATATCTGTAATATCTGTGTATTTCAGTAGTTTGCTTGTCACGTGTAAAAATGTCCATGGGGAAACTCGGGGGAAAAGTAAAGCAGTTCCAGCTGTTATACTTAGGAATTAGAAGGAACCAAATGGTTAAAAATGGAAATGCTGAAGTTCAAATTGGTAGTTTGAAAGAATGTGGTAAAGATGTCTTTAAAACAGTATTTTATACTTTTAAACTAAGTATGCGATGTGGTTTTGTTTGTGTAGGGACGGGAGATACACTTTGCCTAATATTATTGAGCCAGCTTTTATCTAGTTGTCTCATTTTGTCTTCATGGGAACTTTTCCACTTTATGGGAACTTGAGGCACTTCTGTGGTGAATGTTTTGATGCTAAATTACTCTTCAAAGTTGTGGGTGTGGATGTTTGTTGTAGGTGAGCATTTACACTTGTATATATGTTGAAAGTGCCTTAAGCAGAACCTGTATAGATTATTTACATTTTGGAGGTCGGTGATAGGATTTTTATGATTTCCTTGTGTCAGGATGTGGGTTTTGTGCATCTGGAAAAGTAGTTAGTCTGTGTTCCAGCTTGTTTTTCTCAAATGAAAATACTGATACTCAAAGTAGGAAATAAATGTATTAATTTTGGGGGGCTCTTATTATCAATACCAGTAACATAGAGCCTGGATCCTGTGTGGTGAATTCAGTGTTCTGTGCACGAGAAATTATCTTTTTTGAAATAATTTGCTCACAGGTCTTACCCGTGAGTGAACTGAGAGCTACAAAAGCTCTGCTTGGCTCTCGCAATCTGAATTGCGGCCCGCAGAGATGGCCCGTCCACTTTCTTGGTGCATCGTATCTTGACTAGGATCTCATCTTCTCTCTGTCTCTGCCAAACTTAGACCAGAGCTTGTTTGAAGTGCTGCGTCGGGGGCGCTGGGTCCGGACTGCAGCTATGCTCTTTGGAGGCTGTTGCAACTCGGAAATGAAATAATTCCAGTTCAGTGATGGATTTGAAAAGATGATAAAAGGAGAGGGACAGCTGTGTGTGGATTAGGAATTAGTGCAGTTTTTTTTGGCTGTGGATAATGAGCATTTTCTCTGTGTGCCTGTGTGTTTGTAGGTGGCTTCAGGGCCGGTTTGGAGCTGGGGATCTGAAAGAGAGGTGGCTTTATGGCCGGTGGTAAACACGGGCTTAGGCGGGAAGCTCCTCGAGCTTCCCGAGTTTGCTGTGGAAATGCTGCTGGAAAAGCTTAAAAGCTGTTTTATGCCTAACTTTGCAGGAAAACAAGAGCTTTGAGACCTGAAGGATGTGTATTCCCCAGGACCAGATTCACTGGATCCATGCTTGACTGGGGCTGTCTTTATCACCAACAGCTCTCCTATATCTTAAGCGCTCTGAGGTAGCAGAGAGGAATGCTGCTGATCTTGTTTTGCTGAATCTTAATATGCAACTTTCCACATCTTCGGTGATAGCTGTATTTTCCATGTGGTCAAACCTTTTTGCAGATGCTTTTATATATTTGTGTATCTTTATTTCTCTCTTAGAGATTTGAAAATGTAGGCCCTATATACTTTGAATATCATATATATAATATATATAAAAAATGATATGCCAGCAAACTAGAGCCGGCTTACAAAAATTCAAAGCATTCATATATATTTTGGTCATGTGAATGGTTTTGTTTGTGATCTTAAAATCATAAGATTAATTTATGAGGAAAATAAGTATCAAAACTATTTTTTTGTTCTTTTTTTAATCCAACATTTAAAGTTAGGTTGAAATGATTTCTGTATCCTACTGTCTTGGGATCTGAGCCTTCTCCTTCTCCTCCCCCAG